CACTTTCACACACATTCTTCTCACACACACTCTCACACCCACATGCTCACACACATTTCCACATACTTTCATACACACGTTCACACACACGCTCACATATATTCCCACAAACTTTCATTCACATGATCACACATTTTACACACATTCTCACACACTTTCACACACATATGCTCACAAACATGTTCACACACTTCCATACACGTACACACTCACACACATGCTCACACACACTCACACACACGCGCACACATTCACTCATGCATTTTCAAAGAAGCATGTTCACACACATACACACTTCCACACAAACATGTTTACACATTCACCCGCGTACTTTCACACACTCCCACACACACTGTCACACACACTTTCTCTCACACGCTTGCTCTTGCAGTCTCTCACACTGGCATACACCCCCATACACACCCCTGCCCTGTTCCCTTGGACTTTGTGGCCCTCAGCTGCGCCTTTCTCCCCTTGGCGCTGCCTCCCCACACACAGCGGCAGAATGCGGCTGCATTTCCCTGTCCCAAGCCATGAAGGCTCAGAACACGCTGACGGGGGCCCTTCTGGGCTTTCCACGAGGAGCAAGACAGGTGGAGGGCGGGAACCCCGCTGGTGGGCACCTGCCTCGGGTCTCGAGGAGCACTGCAAGCGCTTTTCCCAGAAACTTGGTCACAGCCAGCACGGACAGGCTGGCGGCCATACAGCCCTGCGGTGAGCTGGCTGGGCCAGCTATGGCCAATGCTGTGACTGTGTCCTGCCTCCAGGAAAGAAGGAACTCATGGCCATCAGTGTTCTCAGAGATATCATTTACGAACGGGACAAAGCAAGTGCCCTTAACCCCAGGCAGTGGTAGACCAACGGCCTGGACCACTGGGAGCCCAGAGTCCTTCTCTCCAGGCCCTTCCCTCTCAAAGAAGGCTCCGAGCTATGGCTTCAGGCTCTCGGGAGATGAGCTGCACGGGAGGGTCAGGCTAGTTCATGTGAGAACCACTGGCCATTGAAGGACAATGAGCACTGTCTCGAGAACTATGGGAACACACAGCAAGTGACACTGGGAGGTGGCCTGGGCAGAGTTGAGCCTGAGGAGTTGCGATCTTGTCCAGTGGTCAGGGTGCGTGCCTAGCATGTATCTGACCCAGATTTGATTTCTGGCGCCGCGTGGTCCCCGAGCACCAGCAGGTGTGGTCCCAGCGCCCCAGCACCAGTGGGGTGGCCCTAGTACCCCCAGCCCCAGAGGCCAGAGCAGTGTCACCCCTCAGGTGCTGATGTAGAACCGATGGCTTGTTTGGCAGAGAAGCCCCTGAACCTCTGCTGCACTGCTTGGGAGGTCCCCCTACCAACTCTCAAAATACAATAAATTTGGGCCTGGAGGAGTCATTGCGGGGTGGAGAAGAGATGCAGAGGGCAGGGCTGGCTTAAGGGCCGTCCACCTGGGCTGCAGTCTCTGCCTTGGCCATCTTGAACTCCATCTTTCCGGAAGTTGTTTTTTTTTGGCTTTTTGGGTAACACCCGGCGATGCACAGGGGTTACTCCTGGCTCTGCACTCAAAAATTACCCCTGGCAGTGCTCAGGGGACGATATGGGATGCTGGGAATCGAACCTGGGTCAGCCACGTGCAAGGCAAATGCCCTACCCGCTGTGCTATTGCTCCAGCCCCTCTGGAAGTCGCTTTTTAAAAAAAATATTTATTATTATTATTATTATTATTTGGCTTTTTGGGTCAAGCCCTGCGATGCTTGGGGATTACTGGCTCTGTACTCAGGAATTACTCCTGACTGTGCTTGGGGGACTATATGGGATGCTGGAGATTGAACCCGGGGCAGCTGTGTGCAAGGCAAACGCCCTCCCTGCTGTATTATGGCTTATAGAAAATCAAGTACTCTGGCATGAATTGGGTCTTTTCCACTGGCGCCTGTCATCCCCCGTGGGCAGAGGAATTGTCTGACCCCACATCCCTGACTCTAGGGCACAGTCTGAAGGAAATCCCAGGAGCCAGCAGAGAGAGGATTTGCAGGGGTTTGTCTCACAAGTGTCTACACCGAGAGTAGTTGAGCATCAGACAGCAACCAGAACTTGTAACAGGCTGAGAGACAGGGAGAGGAGAGGAGAGAGTTTGAATCATTGCCCCTGCAATGGTGCGCCCCACTCACTTTTGTTTTATGCTGAACTAGCAAATGCTAGAGCTGGTGCTGGTGCAGGGTTGTGTGTGTGTATGGGGGGGGGGGCGGATGAAACTCTTGAAATGCTTGAATCTTGAAATGCTTTGAGGCCCAGCAGGACCAATCCTGGGGGGCAGTGGTGGAGGGTGTGGTGGAGAGGGGCCTGCTGTCCCTGCTGGGGGTCGGTGATGAGGGTTCCAGAGGATGAAGCAGCTTCGGGAGCTGAGCTCTGCAGGGAGCTAGTGATGGGATGGATGTTGTAACTGTCGATTTGCATTTGATTTTCCATCTTTGGATCTACACTGGAGACGCTCCAGCAAATATGCTCAAATACCCCCACAGAACAGGATGGGGCGGAGCCTGCCTACGAGGGGGGACTTCCCCTTAAAAACCCGAGCTGCCGCATGGCCAGAGGCACAGCTGCCCAGACTTCAGGGCTGTGTGCGTGGACATCTGGAAGAGAAACTAAAGAACTGTGATTTCCAGGTCTGGCTTCCCCTCCCTGGGGCGCTGGCGGTGAAGGGGGACCCCTGGGCAGGTGCCTTTTCTGAACGTGCTCAGATGTCTGCATCCTGCTCTTCCAGAGGCCCAAGGCCACTCCCACCCACCCCCACCTGTGCCCACTCGCTCTGCCCAGCTCCAGCCCACTCGCAGAAGGATCCCAGTGTTCCTTCCCCAGCCACTTCCCACTGGAGAGATCGTTCGAGAATTCATCTGCGGACCCCTGAGGGCAGAGAGCAGGTGGACCTGGAAGAGAAGAAGAGAAGATTGGGCTGGAGAGGTGCCAACCTCCCCGTGCCCCTAAAACAGGACCCTCTGCCAGCAAAGGTGAAGCAGGAGCCGGTGACTCCCTTTTGGCCAGTGAGACACGAGGGCAGGTTTCTATGGGGACGAGGGAAGAGGGGGGACTTGGGGGGAGTGAGACAAGGAAAGGGTGGCTGTCCCCCCACTCCATGTCTGTGTGCTACAGAGAACCACAGAGAAACAGCAGGTGGTACACGGATGTCCCCAGGGGCCGCTCGAGGCCTCCTGTGGGGATAACACCCCGTCAGACCCTTAAGTGCTTGGCTGCTTGCCCTGGTTGGTTCCAGAGAGTTTGGAGAACCAGGCGTTGATGCTGGGTTCGTTCAACCAGCAGCCCTCCCCCACCCCCAGTATCCCTGGACCAGACTTTCCAGTTCCCCTTTGGATGAGAACTGGAGACAGAAAGTTGGAAATCAGGGCTGGAGCAGTACTACAGCAGGGAGGGCGTTTGCCTTGCACACGGCTGTCCTGGGTTGGATCCCCGGCATCCCATATGGTCCCCTGAGCATCACCAGAAGTAATTCCTGAGTGCAGAGCCAGGAGTAACCCCCGAGCATCGCCAGGTGTGACCCTCCCCCCTCCAAAAAAGAAGCAATTAACAAAAGAAAGTTGGAAATTATTGAGAGAGCTGTTGGGGGGCTGGAGCGTTAGTACTGGGGTGAAGGTACCCTGCTTTGCTCATGGCTGCCCTGCCAGGAGGAGCCTCTGAGTACGGAGCCAGGAGTAAGCCCTGAGCACAGTTGGGTGTCGCCCCCAAATCTAAGCACCTCTCCCCCAGTTCTGGAGGAAGCAGGTACTGAGGGGTAGACCGTTTGCTTCGTTCTTCTCACTGCGGGGGCATTCAGAAGCTTGGGGAATGCATACTGGCCAGCAGGACTCCCCTCCCCCCTCCCCTCCCCCCCACAGACACTCTTGCTGTCTGACATGACCAGTGAACACTGTAGGGGATGTCGGAGCTGGTGGGGATTTGTGGCCCGACCAGCGCATCCCTTCTCACCTGCCCTACCCTGCCTCAGCGCCCCCTGCTGGTGCCCCCTGCTGAGCAGGCAGCCTAGCCCCTTCCAAGGTAGGACCAGAGCCCCCACCCACCTCCTCCACCCAACCGGAAGACTGGCAGGTGGGGAAAGGAAGGCTGAGGAGATGTCCCTCAAACCGAGAGTGCAGACAAAGCAAAACTTGGGGCGTCCCCCTGACTTCTCAGACCCTCCCCTCTGAGCGTTTGTGATCCTGCAGCTCCTGGACCCCGCGTTCCTCTGGGCTTCCTGCCCCAGACAGTGGTAATCTGGAGATGGGGGGGGGGGCAGTGCCTGTGAACCTTCGGTCTACTGACCCTTGGCTCTGCCTCCCTCTGTCCCCTCCTAGGGCCCCCAGGCTGCAGATCCCTGATAACCAGGTGTGGGGCCACCTTGGCCAGAGTGGGTGGGGGACCCCTCCTAGTCCTCCCCCCGGCTTTGCTCGTGAGGGCTGGAAAGGTCTAGCATCCATGGCAAGGGGTGCCAACCCCCCTAAGTGTCCATGTCTCCAGGGGATCTGAGGATCCCTGTGACCATGGCCTCTGGACTGCCCCTCTGGGGCTCACCCAGGGTCGTGCAGGAACCCCTGGGTGGCAGGTGCAGGCGGGGCCGCGCCCCAAAGTTCAGCAGCTCCACTTCCTGTGGGTGAGGGCCTGAGGGGAGCTTGCACAAACCTTCCTGCAGGGGCCCCCGAGTGCCTCCGCCCTGCCCAGACACCCTCCGGCCTGTCTCTGGGGCTGCCTCCAGGACACAGCCGGCATCCCGGGGGCGGGATCCTGCATCACTAGGGCACTGCCCAGGGCTGGGTCCCCCACGCAGGCCTGCCCTCCCCTCCCCGCTCTGCCCTTCCTCATTTTGCTGCAGAAGCGGGCCCCACACAAAACTATCAGGCCCTTTTCCTGTCTCCACCATCGGCTCATCTCAGGCTTGCAGCTGTGTGCCGGGCCCAGACGTGGGAAGAGGGGCCTGAGCCCACCCTGGGCGCCTGGACACGCTGCTGCTCCGGCTACTGTGCAGGCTGCCTGTGGGGAAGGGGGGCGAGCAGAGCCCAGCAGACCACAATGATGCCTCAGCTCCAGTTCAAAGATGCCTTTTGGGTGAGTGAAGACCCAGGGGAATATGGGCCCCCAGGGAGGCCAGGTTGGGTGCACTGAGGTGAGGTGGAGTTTCCTGGGGGGAGAGTGTATCGGTATAGGGCACCCGGGCAAGGTTTCGCCAGTGGCTGATTTGGGGGAGGTGACGGGGACACTGTCCTCTGTGGGTCAGGAGATGGACTGACTCCTCAGGCCGACTCCTCCCTGGTTTCTCTTCAGAGTTGATGCGGGGAAGGAGTGAGGGCTCACGGTGCTCCTGTGGCTTACTGCCTGGGGACACCTTCTTGCCCTCGAGGGACGTCTTCAGGATGATCTCAGGGGACGGAGGCTGAGGCAGGCCCGGGAGGCAGAGCAGGGAGGAGGCGCAGGTGTGGGGACAGACGCTTGAATTCATATCTTGGTGCTCTGTCTGGGCTTGGCTGAGCCATTTTATTTTTTATCCTTCTGTCCCCATTTATAGAGGAGATAAAGGTCAGCCAGTGAGGGCCAGGATGTGGCTTCAGGGTTTGTCTTGCACATGTGTGGAACCCTGGGTCCAATTTCTGGCAGAACAAAAATAATGATCACAATAATAGTAATAGCAACAACTGTAGCACTGAGCACTGTCCTCCCGTTGTTCATCGATTTGCTAGAACAGGCACCAGTAATGTCTCTATGGTGAAACTCCTTGTTACTGTTTTTGGCATATCGAATAGACCAGGGGAGCTTGCCAGGCTCTGCCGTGCAGGCACGATACTCTCGGTAGCTTGCCAGGCTCTCTGAGAGGGGCGGGGGAATCGAACCCGGGTCAGCCTCGTGCAAGGCAAACTCCCTACCCTTTGCGCTATCACTCCAGGCCAATAGCAACAACAACAGCAATGATAACTGAATAAAAACTTTAAACAAGGTCATTTGCGGGGGGAGTTCAGATTACTCCCACCGGTGCTCAGGGCCTTCTCCTAACTCAGGGGGTCTTTCCTGGCAGGGCACAGGGGGCCATATACAGAGCTGGGGATCTAACTGAGGTCAGTGGCATGTCCTACCCCACTGCCTACTGCCTGCACTCGCTACAACAGTGCTCTCTCTCCAGTCCCAAGTGAGGTCATTTAATACAGTAGGGTTCCCAAACTGTACGGTTCCCCCACCTTCCAGTACCCAAACTGTAACCCACCCTCTTCCTTGTAGACCCTGGGCGTGCTGTGAGGGGGAGGAGAGCTGGGCTGTTCCTTGCTTTTGGCATATCGAATAGATCAGTTCACTCAAAAGACTGAGTCCTGTCGCCCCGAAGTTCTGGCACTCAGCAGAGCCTCAGGGACCCCAGGCCCCTTCACTCTCTTCTGGCTGTCTCTGAGCCAACCCTCTGCTCCTCCAGTTCTGGCCTTGCCCACGGCTGGCATATCGAATAGATCACGGGTAGCTTGCCAGGCTCTGGCATCCTGCTCCGGACCCTCCCAGACTCCCTGGCTCCCCTAGAGCTCGCAACCCCATCCCAGGGCGCTTGTGTGCAGGATGCCGACCTGGGTCCTCCATCCAGGGCCATGGCCGGGCCTATGGGTGAGTGACCACACTGGCTTGTTGGGCCGCCTCTGAACCGTGCTGGTCTCAGGTCTGCAAGGAGGATGCCCCCTCCACCCTCCATTCCTGCCAGTAAGCAGGCAAAGGGCCCCCGGGCTGGTCCATCCCAAACAAGTTGAGGGTATGGGTGGGGCATGCTCGGAGGGTACAGCATTGGGTGGGGGTACAATAGATCTCTCCTCACTGATGCACAGGGTTGGGATCCAGGGGTGCCCGGGATTCTGAGCAGACAGGACAGCTGGATGGCCTCCCCTCCCCGACACCTGTTCCAACCCAAAGCCCCGGGCCTGCCTCCTTAGGGTGCAGGTAGGGACTCGAGCTTCCCGCTGCAGGATCTGGGGAGGGCAGGAAGGGTACGAGGGGAGGAGAAGGAGAGTCTGTGGTGCAGGGAAGGTGGCAGCTGCCCACCTGGGCAGTTTACTCTGCGGCCACCTGTCCACATGCTCTGTCTCACCATTTCCTCTTTCTTTGGCTCTCTTGAATATGGGGAGAGGCCAGAGCAGGGAAGGGGAGTCTCAGACACTGGCCTGAAACCCCAGAAGGTGGCTGTGGACATCCCCCGCCCCCCCAGGCTCTGGATTCCAACACCCTCCCCTGGGACCTTCGGGCTGAGCACTGAGGGTCTTCCAGGAGCTGCTTTCAGCACCCAGAATCCGTTAGCACAGCATCTTCAGGGGCTGCCCCTTAGAGCCCCTTCACCAGAGGAGGCCCAGAGCGCTCGAGGAACCCACCCCAGGTCACACAGTGGAGGCCAAACTCGGCCAGGCTGGGTGCTTGGCCAAGGGGCTACTCCAGCCCTCTAGCACCCTGGCAGGACAGCGAGCCTCAGGGCCACAGAGGCGAAACAGAAGGGAAAATTCTGCACCTAAGGAAGAGGAGATGAACTTGACAGAACTATTCTGATGCTCGATTTATAGACCCATCCGCAAAACAAACAAAGTGGGGATTCATGGGACAAAGATGGGGCTACCCTGAATGCAGGATAGCACTGGGTTGTCCTTGCTCCTCCTGCAGGGAGCTTAGGCTTATTGAGTTACTCCCACAACAGTGCCCCTGAGGCACACCCAATTCCATCAAGCACTAATAATCCTATATTGCTTTTCTCTTTCCTTTATGCCACTTACATGGTTTAGCAATGTCCTTTTTGCATAGACACAGGAAGACAGTTCATGCTATGCTTTGTAACCTGGGAGTTAGTTGACTCCAAATAATATTATTTACTCCTGGACATCCATATTTACTTGACTTAAGTCTCAGTTGCCTTTACTTCCTAAGACCCCCAAAAGGAGGGTCCCGACGAAGGGACTGAATGAACCCAGGGCAAGCTATAAGCTACCCTGGTGTCGAAAGGGAACAAGCTAAGCACCATAAGTATAATAAGTTAAGAGCGTGGTCATGAGACAAACTCTGTCATGACCCAAAAAGAAGGAACTGAATAAGGACCCTGCTGAGATTAGGAAAGACTAACCTGGCCTGAGGACTGTGGTCTGGAATAGATAGCAAGATGTCCCCAGGAAGCACCAAACTTTAAGCTTAATATATCTCTTGCTGTGTTCATACAAATTACTAGAAATATTATAAGAAATACATTTACTATGATTGGTTAAACGGATTACTAGCTGAGGAAAGGAGAAAGCAAAATACTCTGGAGAGAATCCCGTCCTTGAGTGGATCTCCTAGTAATCTAGAGTGGTGAACCCTCCAATGAGATTTTGTCCTTGAATTAATCTAGAACTTCCCCTGAAGGCGTGGCTTTACCTCTGTTAGTTGTCATGACAATGTTCAACCCCACCTATGTGTATCCCCACCCTTCGCGATTTCTATATAACTCTGCTGTAAGGAGAAAGGGGGGACTGGGACGATGGAACTCTGATGACCGGGACTACGACCAAAACTACGACTATGGTTGTGCAGTAGGGAGAGATCGAACTATGTTGGGGAGGGGAGAGAAAGAAACTGACTATCAACCAGTCTGGGGCCCTGTGTCTCCATTCCCCCGTCCTCTGTCCCTCTGTCGCAGTGGGCTGGCCAGAGGAACAGTTCTCGGCCACTGAACGCTCAAGTCCTGCACGTCTCCACAATTTTCCTTGAAACCCACAACCCTGCTGCCCACTACCATCACATGCCACACCCCTACTCACCCCCTATCCTAAGGCAATACCAGGGAACCCCTGGCTTCCTGCACAACCTTTGAAAAAAATTCTAAGGATGGAAGGAGGCCTTGACTAGGAAGCATCTCCGTTATCTGAAGTTCCATAATCCAGCACATAGGGACGTGGGGATGTGGGGACGTGTGGACATGGGGACATAGGAACGCGGGGAAGTGGGGACGTAGGAATGTGGGGACGTGGGGATGTGGGGACGTGGGGACATGGGGATTCAGGGATGTGGGGATGTGGGGACAAGGGGCCCTGTTTCTGGTCCTGATCCCAGTGAGACAGAAGAACCAAGATGGTTTTTGAGAACTTGCATGAAAGCACCAAGTGCTGGAGAGATAGTCCAGAGGGGAAGATGCTTCGTTTGCACCTTAGTGACTGAGCTACGTTTGGTCCCCGGCACCAGCTCTGATTCCCTGAGCCCCGGCAGGATCCCTGAGCATAGAGAGTACAAGTAGCTCATAGCTTCAGTTAGACCCAGCAACTCTGACTCAAACGTCTTAAAAGACAGGGGCCACATCCAGTGGAGGAGGGGTGGGGTGGAGTGGCCTCTACTGCAGATGCTTGGTGGCTGTGCAGGCCTGCCAGATGGGCCCTGTGACCTTAGGGTGCCACCAGACTACACCCTGAAGCATAACTCACTCAAGGGCACTGCTGCTGAGACGAGCGCACAGTGTGGGCCTGGGCTCCACCACTTGGAGCCAAATCTCTAGCCCTTTGCCCACAATTTTAACCAGCTTGGTCACATGGTCCTGTGGCCTATTGATGACGCAGTTAGTAGGGGCTTGCAGGGGATCTGATGGACAGTGGGTGATTCTTAAGTATTGGCTGTTCTGAGCTCTTAGAGGCTACCTCCCCAGCACGGCTTCTCTGGCTGCAGAGAGGAGACAGGAAGAGGAGGATGAAAACGGGCACAATTGTTCCGCCACAGGAGGGGCCCATGGCTGGAGAGGGGGTGGGGCCAGCAGCCCAGTCCTGCCCCTGGTTCTCGCAGTCACAGGCGTGTATTTATAGCCCCCTTTTATCTGTGGCAGCACTGCTTTCAGACACAGACTGATTGGGGGTGCGATGGGGGCAGGAGGGAGTTTTTTATTTCTGTCACACTCTCTGGGGTGACGAAGAGCAGCAAGCAGCTACCGGAAGTCTGTGGCACAGCGCCCTCGTGGGTCCTCAGACCCGCTTAGAGTCCCTTTCAGCACTGAGTCAGGGGAATCCAGACCCTCAGAGAAGGGCCCCAGGTCTCCTTCGACATGCAGGTTGCTTGGCCAGTGGTGCTGCTCCCAGCAGGAAGCC